AGGGCGTGGAGGAGACAGACTTCTACCCCAGCGTGGACAACACTTTCCGCAAGTTCTCCTACCTCCCCTTTGTCCCTGAGCAGGGAGACATCTACGTCTGCCAGGTGGAGCACTGGGGCATCCCAGAGGGAAAGATGGAGAAGATCTGGGGTAAGCACCGGGCAGGATTGGGGCTTTTCTCTGGGACTTGAACTCAGAAACCCAGATTCTTGGCTCATGAGAAGCAAGTTCTGATGATCAGAATAAGTTACGCAAGTGAAGTACATTTGCAGTTCTGAATAATTTATTCCAATCTTACTAGCTGCTTTTTGGGGGTTCCTTGAGTTAGTTTCTCTCAGTTTAACTTAAAAGTGTGTGCATTAAGGGTTGTGGGGCGGGTGTGTCAGGACTCCTGGGTTCTTTCTTCCGCTCAACACCCACAGAGAAACAGAGTCCCTCCTTAGCCCTGTCCCCTCTCTCTCCATCCCAGTTTCCAAGGCGCCCTCTCCCATACCGGAGACGATGGAGAACGTGCTGTGTGCCCTGGGCTTGGCCTTTGGCATCCTGGGCATCATCGCTGGCACCATCCTTTTCTTCAAGGCCATGAGGATGAACGATCGCAGGGGCTTCATGTGAGTCGAACCCGTTTCCCTTCAGGGGCTCAGAGACAAATGCGAAGGAAGCCAAAATACACAGCAAAGGGGTGGGGTGGGCCTTATCCTGCCCAGAAGGTGCTCAGCCTCAATACTCCCAGCTCACCAGCCCCCTTCTCCTTCCTTTTCAGATAATGGAGGATTCCTTTCCTGACAGCCTCTTCCTTAAACCCTCTCAGCTCAGCTCCTTTGCCAAGAGTCTCTTCTGCTATGAATCAGCTGGAAGGAGTTGCTTCCTCCGTGTGCAGATTATCCTTAGAAGCTTTTCAAATATGTTTAACTTTTGAGAACAATTATGATAGCCAAAGATGCTTAGGCAGACTTACATTACTTTTCTCCCTTTTATGTTTCCCTCTTAGCATAGAAAATGCTCAGACTGTTTAAGTCAATAGGAAATGTATATGGTTTACTCACATTAAATGTCTTGCCATGGTGCAACATTTACAGCTCCTCTATGCAGGTTCTGAAACTCCCTGGTGCCTTTGCTTCTGGCTGTCTAGTAATTGTGCATTTTACAGAATCATAGAATTGTAGAGTTGGAAGGGACCCTAAGGGTCATCTAGTCCAACCCCCTGCAGTGCAGGAATCACACCTAAATCATCTCTGACAGAGGGGCTTGTGGTTTGGGTGCCGATCCTCCCCCAAACTCCATGGTTGAAGTCAGGATAGTTTTTGTGGGGGCTTTGCCTGGCCTTCCATCTGCATGGCTCAAGGAGACCCCTGCCAACAGAGGGTCAGGCATACTAATTCATATCTCCACCCCACTTACCCAAAACCATTCACCTCCCTCTCCAGTTTTTGGAGAGAGCCTTCCTCAGTTCCGTGCATTGCACTGCAGGAATACACCCCTCAGGTGTTTCCTTAATCCCAAAGAGGATTCATCCAGCTTGCTGGGGAAGTTTAGCTGCTAAGAGACCCCAAACACCTTTCTTGTCCACATAAAGCAGGGTTGTATCTGTCTGTGTAGAGGAAAAGATCCCTTCTTCTTCTGCAAAACTTTCCCAATGGCTTCTGTGCAGCCCAACTGCTGTTTTTCATACGTGCTCCCATATTTCCAAAAGCAATGAATAAATTTTACAGTTTGTTGATTTGTTTCTAGTGCTGTTTTCTCTGCCTATAAGCTCTGGATATATTTATTATTTGAAAGCAAAAAGGTGAACCATTGAGGAAATTGGTAGCATTGCAACCAGAGTGGCTACACTGACTCCTCATGTCTCTAGGCCCAGATTCTGGGAGATGATAAGAGATCACGAGAGCCAGCACTGGTGCCTCCCTGCCTCTGCCCTGGTCTGCCTGTCTGTCCCCTGCTGGGAACAGGATGCTGGGGCAGGACTCTTCTGGTCTTCAAGGCCTGCTGTGGGTTGTGTGATGCCCCAAACCGTTATCCCACAGGACCCGTGGATTCCACCTCTGGGTGAACAGATGAGAGGAACAGAACAGCCCATCCCCCTGTCCTAAAATGCCTCACCAGATCAAAGCACCTGCTCTTCCTGAGACTGGAGTGATTGATTGGGGGGAAGAGGTAGGAAATGTGCAGAGACCTCCTCCAGATGGATGAATGAAGGTCTTCTTCCAGGGGCAACAACACTCTAGAGAGGTGTGTGTTTCAGGACATGCAAGGTCAGGCCTGGCCAGACCTCCATCATGAGTTGACTGTGTTGCCTGAAACATGCCTTAAAACCCTCAGAGAAGAATTCACTCTTTTCTGGTAGCTTCCCATCTTGCCCCTATTTTTGTGTGCCTCGTTAAGATAAGTTAATGCAAGGAGTTGTTCAGCTCTTTCTCTCCCCCAATGTAATTTGGGTGTCTATACAGTTCCTGCCTGAGGCTGGGAAGGAGGCCTCTTGGAGGAAGAAACAGACCAAGAGGAGGGGGGCAAGGGGGTCCCTGGACAGGAGGGGCAGGATCCAGGCAGTCTGCTCCCTGGTGACAGAAGCAGGACTTCTGGGCCCATAGCACATGCCTCCCTCCCCCACCTCTCCCTCCTTCTGCCCCCTTGTTTCTGGCAGCAGAGGAGACGCTGCAGAAAGGCGCTGGGGGGAGTTTCGCTTCCCCCCACAGGGAGGCCTGGAGCTCAGCTCAGCATTTGGGGAAATGAAAGAGGGAAGCTGGCCACGATCCAGGAGACGGAGGTCAACCGGGAGCGCAGCAAAACCTCCTCACAGAGAAGTAGCTTCCACCACCACCCCACAGCACAGCCCCCCCTTCAGCCCAGCAGCAATGGCTTAAGAGGAATGGCAGTTTTAGGGAAGGACCCCCTTGGGAATGGCTGAGCTGAATGGAATGGGGCTGGGCAAGCCCCATAGCACCCTCTGCTAGAGGAATAGGGGCTCCTTGGCTCAAGGTGGGGGGAGATTTCCTTGGAGAGCAGCCCCCTCCCTCTTGGGTCAGGAGAGCAAAGTGGGTCATCTCTTCCCAAGGCAGGAGGGAGGAGGAAGAGGGGAGAATGGGCAGAGACCCCTCCAAGTCCTCAAGGCTATGGGGCACAACCCACAGGAGAGGGTGGGGGTGTTTCAGGTCAGCCAAGGCCAGGATGTGGCCCAGTCAGGCTGGCCAGACCTCCTTCGTGAGTTGGCTGTGGGGCAGAGACAGGTCTCTTCAACCTCTCCAGACCCCAGACCCCCTTTCAACCCAAACATGCATTTCTCCATCTTTATATCTGCGAGGTGTCAGGGCTCCTGTTTCAGCCCACATGGGATCAGGCTGCGACCCACCAGTGGAAGACCAGGGGCACAGAACATGTCCCCCCAGGGAAGGAGTCACTGCTTTCGGGGGTCTGGATCTGCTGTTTCCCCTCCTCTCCCCATTCTGCCCCTATTCTGTGTGTAGAAATGCCTCCTTCCAGAAATGAATGCCAGTTGAAAGAGTCGTCCAGCTCTTCCTCCCCCTGGCAAGAGGCTCCAGGAGGAACATGACCCCCCAGAGAGGGGTTTGGGAGAGGCGTCCCTTCTGGGGCCAAGGCTTGTGCAGGGACATCACAGGGACGGACAGACAAGGCCCAGCCTGCTGTGCAATATTATACCTTAGAGTTGTCACGGTTTCTTTAGAAGGGGAAATGGGATCTTTTTTGCAGATCCTCTTTCAGCAAAAGAGCAAACATTCTCCTGGATCTCAAGGCAGAAGCAAAGGAGAACCTTCAGCCAAGTAGCATGTGGGGAGGGGGGCCAGGGGAGCTGCCAGGGCAAGGTTGTGGGGCAGGAGACCAGGGCCCCCCTCAGCAGAAAGAGCCGCATGTCCTGTGAATGTGAAAGGGCCCATTTGCCTTGAAATGGGACAATTTGAAGAAGGAGAGTCTGCCAAGGGCACGTGGTCCCAAGAGCCTAAGATCCTCAAAGGGCCTCTTCCAAATTTCATCCCTGGTATCTGGGACGAGGCCTCCTCCTGGAAGGACCAAGCAGGGGCTCTGAGGCCTTTTTCCTCCTCAGAGACTCATGGAATTGTAGAGTTGGAGGAACCTCAGGGGTCATCTAGTCCAGGGGTCTGCAAGCCGCGGCTCCGGAGCCGCATGTGGGTCTTTTACACCTTTGCCGCGGCTCCGGGGCGGATACCAGCGAGAGGAGGAGGCGCATTGTGTGCCCCGACACTCCCCACTGTGGCGGGTGCTGTACTGGCTGTGACGTCGCATGGGGGCGGTGCGTGCATTAGTCATGCACCGTCCCGACGTCACCTTCCCGCCCGCTACATTGTAAGGGGCATGTACACTGGTCACTGCATTGAAGGGGAGTGAAGAACACACACACACACACACACACACACAAAGGTAACTTGTTAATTTAATGTTTATTTCTATGAGGAGGAGTAATTCTGAGGGGTCAACCAAAGAAATAATAAAAAAGTGACAAAAAAGTTATTTTTATAATGACGAGTTTTGCGGCTTCCAGTTTTTTTCTCTTCGGAAACAGGTCCAAGTGGCTCTTTTTGTCTTAAAGGTTGCAGACCCCTGATATAGTCCAACCCCTACAATCCTTCTCTTCCGCAGACCAACCCTGCCTGTGGTTGGTGATACCTGAGTCTTTTTCCCTCTGAGGAAATCCCTTCTCGTCTGCAGATTTTGTAGCGTTTCCTCCCTGTCTTAGTGTGAGCTTGATGGTCCTGCCTCCTCCTCTACCATCACATTGTGAACCGCCCTGAAATCTACAGTTGAAGTATAGAAATTTTAAAAATAAATGAATACATGTATATATGGGTCCCTGGGAGTGTTTTCCTCTCCTTTCTCTCCTTCAGCACACTTTGGAACTCCCTGCCTAAGGAAACCAAGAGGAGCCTTCTTCATTGTTCTCTTTTTGGCACCTGAGGAAAACATTCTTGCTCAGACAAGTCGACCCAGATGTTGAGGAAGTTGAGGTGATTTTAATGTTTTTGCGTTTGTGTGTTTGTGCTTTAAAGCACTGTGGCAATTTTTCTCCTGGTTTATCTTTTTGCATAGCACTTTGAGGTGTTGCTTTCCCCCCACAATTAAGTGATGTATAAGGTTTATGAAGTGAAATAACAAACTACCCAGAGTGTTTGCCCCTCACCAGCCTCCTGTGATTCTTGGCAGGCCTCCCCAATTCAGTTGTGAGTCTCCCCATCAGGGCTTGAAGGACCAGTCCTGGCAGTCTGATGAGATTCATGGTTGTTTTCAGGGACAGCTCAGGCTCCTCCAGGGAGATTCAAGGCACAAATTCTCTAGCAGAGAGGTGCAAAGAAGGAATCAGGTTGCCATAACTTGCAATCCACAAGCGGAAAGGGAAACAGAAAACGAAACTTTCCGCAAATGACAAGCAAGCAACAGAGGTGGGGGAGGGGTGGACACTGTCCTTCTTGATCTGTGACTCCTTCCATCCACCTTCCAAGGAGATTTCCACCCTCTTAGCAAGGACAGAGGGCAACTGGCAGGAGGAAAAGAGCTTCTCCACATCCCAGGATCCTGATGAAGCAGTGAAGTCTATCTGATGAGTCCTGCAGACAGAGGAGAGAGAGACAAGCCCATCACTGTGGGGTGAGGAACGGGGAGAAAGGGGTCAAGAATCCCTGGCAAGATTTGGGGGACACTCCATAGAGCGGCCATCAGATATTGTGAACTACAATTCCCATCGCCTCCAGTTATGGGCCTGGCAGGGGGGGCTCTGAGGAGGGAAGGAGACAGAGGGAGGGAGACTTGGCGGGCTTTGGCAATGGAGAAGAGGAGGTTCAGAAGAGACCAAGGAGATCTCTCCAGATCAGAAATGGGGAACCACAGACCCTGGACCAAACTTGGCCCCCAGGCCTCTCTTTCTGGCCCTCATGGCACTCTCCAGACACTCTTCCTGTCCCCGCTTTGAACCCTCCAGGAGTGATTCCACCTCCCTTGAACTCTGAGGATGCCCCTTGCTTGCCTGAAACAAGAACGGAATGGGGCAGAAATTAGTCCACTCAGCAATACGGAAATTGTAGTCCCTGGAAGGAGGGGATGCTGAATAGGAGCTTTAGGTCTTAATCTACAGATTTAAACCTCAGGCCATCTCCATAATAGCTGAGGCTCCATTTGAGGCACCAAGAGGGACCTCCTAGGAGTGGAGAAGGAACAGAACCCTCTCCAGAGCCTCTGCCAAAGAAGAGGAGGGGAGCCTGGAGCCCAATCCAGCCCCACACCCAACCCTCCCTCTCCCCCTGGCACCCCACCCTCACCTTTCTTGTTTTTCAGGTAAAGGGCGAGTCCAGTGGCCCCAAAGACCAGCCCCAGCACAATCCCCACAATCCCCGTCCACATCTTGCTCCTGGCAGAGTCCGACTGTGGCTCTGAAGGAAGAGAAAGCTGTGAGTGAGGAAAGGCAGGCCTGGGATCAGCCCCCTGAGGGGGGAACAACCCATCTAGCCCCCCAGGAATGCCCCCACTTCCTTGGGAAGTGGTGGGTCAGGGCTGGCAAGGCGTCCTACCCCACTGGACTGTGACGGGGCCTTCGAAGCTGGCGTGCTCCACCTGGCAGGTGTAGACGTCTCCACGTTCTGGCTTTGTCTCCAGCATCACCTCAATATGGAAGGTCCAGTCCCCGTTCCGGATGAGGTCTGTGGTCCACACTTTGGGCTCCTCCTTCCCGTTCCTGAACCACTTGATCTCGATCCCCGCAGGGAAGAAGCGGTTCACGGTGCAAATCAGCAGAGTGTTGTGTGGTGAAGATTCAACGTTGTCTGTGGGGGTGATCTTCACCTTGGGCTGGACTGTGGGAGGGAGGCAAGGGAGATGTGGAGGGAGGTCAGAGGTTTAGGCAGGGAGGGACCTGGAGGCTTCAAGGGAGGGAGGAGAGGCCACAGTTAACAGGGGAGGGGGGCTAGTCAGGGTGACGCCTCTAGGGGGCGCAACTGAGGCTCCCAGCTTGCAGGGGCGTTCCTTTCTCTGACCGCAGCCCTTGCCCCCTGGCTCCAGAGTCTAAAAGCATCTGCTGAGCACCAGAGTGAGGCTAATCTGCAAGGGGAAGCAGGAAAACCTGGAAAACGACCCTCCTTCCCCTTTCCCCCTGCCTGTTTTTGGAACTGTGTGCGAAAGAGAAATCCTGGAGAAGGTTTCTCTCCACGCAAAGTTGAAATGGAAAAATCTTATTTTTCTTTCTTTCTTCTTTTGCTTCCCTTAAAGTCTGAATGATGAATTAGAAGTGGTGAAGAGATCAGAAAATCTCCTCCTGCCCTTTTGGGAACAGAAGCCCTTTGGAGTATGGCTTGCTTGTGTGTTCATTTTGTGCGTTTGTGTGTGTGTGTGTGTTTGGATCTTTAGAAGACAACATACATGTTTACACCACGTGAACACATAGAGAGGGCACTGCTGCCTACAATCAGCTACAAAAACTGAATCCTCTTTATACTGAAAATAAAATACCTGCAATGAATGAAATGTGATGCTGACATACCAAGCTCTTTGTATTTATCCCTTCCTGCAATTTAGGAGGAAAATGTAGCCAATCCACTTTAAATTCTTTACTTACAATGGTTCAGCAGCCAGCAATTTTTAAAGAAAACTTGTGGAGTATTTATTCTCCCCCATATGAAACATACTCCCCCATATGAAACAATGTGCGCTGCAAGCAAAGCGTGATCCAGAGAAGAAAACAAACAGTTGTTATACATATAACACTCCCCTGTTGTTTCAGTTCCACCCTTGGAACTACCCGCCACTGGTTTCCCCAGTGTACCTCTCTGGTTGTCTGTCTTCCAAGGAATGAGTGCATCTGCATTACCTTGGCTAGGGAATGTAGTGTTACGCTTAGCAACTCCCTGTTGTGTCTTTGTCTCTGACTTAGACACAGCTTCAACCTGTCTTGAGTTGTTAACAATAGCAACACATGCAACAGCTGAGTTAGCAAACTCTTTTGAGTACCTCTTGGGTGGTACGCCCTTTGTAACTCTCTCAGACCTGCGTATGAGGTGCTGATCCTCTCTGCTCACTGGTTCAGTCTTGGGACTCTTTGGAGAACCAGTTCCAATAGTAAACAGTGGTTCATCCTTCATCTGTGAAGGTCTAGCCATTGTGTGAGATTTCCTCTCAATGACTGTGTCAACTGAGCTCTGTGAGCTATCACTGTCATTTTCAGTACCACTGTAATCAGTAAAATCATCATCATCATCTGAATTGTCCTCTGTGGGAAATGTGTGAACAATTACTCTCTCCTGTTCAGGAGCACTCTCTAGAAATTTTGTGAGAACCACCTGACCAGATTCAGACAAAATTACCCTGTAGAGACCCTTTTCATAACCCACAAAAATGCCTCTAGCATTCTTTGCTCCACCTGGAGCTTCAGTCTTCACATGAGACCCAAAAACCTTAAAATGGGCAACAGAAGGTTTTCTGTGGAATAGCTTTTCAAAAGGAGAACTTCCCAAACCTTTTGAAACCTTTCTCATTCTGATTCTGAAGCAGGGCTTTCATCTTTATAAACCATGAGGAATAATTGTCATTAGTCAGTAGAGGTGGGTAAGGTAAGCCTCCCCCCTTCCTGGCATCCATTTTAAATCCAAGCCTCGGCTCTCACTCTCAAGCCTGTAAACTCCAAGAGTCTATTGGCTGTTTACTGCCTCACACTTGGCAGCTAAACGCAGGCTGTTTTGAAAGTCCCTCCAAGAGCAGTGAGATAATAGACAAAACAAACGCTGTTTTCTCAGTGTTTTTCCAGCCTCTCACAGTGCCAGCCTCACTTCCGTGTTGGCTAGTAACTTTCCACTTTACTGATGTTTCGTTGCTTAGCAACTGGACATTCCAGGTTTGAGCAGCAAACCTTATCAATCTCAGGAATGCGAAATATGAAGGCTATTTCTCTCAGTGCTGGTTTCATCCAAAAGCAGACACTCAGTGAACCGAAGAATGCTTCAATTCGCGTTCACTCTCACAGCCATAAAATCACCATACCTTGAGGGAATCCGTTGCTCAGCAAAAACTCCTCCTCCGGTGCTCAGCCGTCCTTGTAGCTTCCATCCGCCCGCTACCACATTCTTTCTTTATCTCCTTGCAGAGGATGAAGTACGATCCATCAACCTCTCTTGTTGCTTTCATGGATCAAAACCATCGGCTACGTGCTACCAGATGTTGGGAATCAAGCCTTTATGAGGAGAAACTGGCCACTCTCCAGGCACCTGGCTTGATCTCCTGTTGACCTCCCTGTCTGCATTCCCAGCAGGATACAGGCTAGGTCGCGATAGGCGATGAGAAGAACACCCCCCCTCTTTCCTGCCCCCCCCGGGCAGGGGAACGAGATAGACAGAAACGTATTTACATGCCTTTATTTCTGTCTTTGCAGCGTTACAAAAATCATGACTGCTCTCTTCAAGCTTCAGCAGTCGAGAGAGAACAAAACACTTGCTGTACTTCCTGTACAGCTCATATTACACTCTGAGCTAATTCCAGTGCGTCGCACTGTGAATAGACTGTCTCTCTGTTTCCCACGGAACAGTCCCAACATTCCCATTATGTTTTGCTTTCAAGCTACCAGCAGCTCGCGGCTGCATTGCTTCAATATCGTAACAGTTTATAATAATAATTATTTAATCCTGAATGTATGTGATTTTGAGGTTAATTTCTAACCCCCCCCCAATTTAAACACCTCAATTCCCTGGGAAACCTGGACATATCGTAGCCCTACCTGAATCCTTGTCAAGTGTGCAAGAAACGACATGCTAAGGTGTCACAATTATTAATTGAGTGATGTCCAAATAACAACATATTGTACTTTTAAAATGTTCAGGGTTTCTGCTTGAAATGTGCTCTCTTCTCCCCCTGAAAGGCTGCCTATTCCCCCCTTGCAGCCCCCCACTCTAATGGAGTCCAGCCTTGGACTGCGTCCTGGGTTCAAATCCCCCCAGGCCTTGAGTCTCCTGGGTGTCCCTGGCCACCCCCTCCCCTCAGCCTGGCCTCCCTCACAGGGCTGTTGTGGGGGTGGAATGAGGAGAGGGAGAACCAGAGACAGCACAGGCAGTAAATGAAGTTTAGGGAAGTTTTTAATGTTTTATGTTCTATTGTGCTTTTAATTTTGTTGGGAGCTGCCCAGAATGGCTGGGGTATTATTATTATTAATAATAATAATAATAATAATAATAATAATAATAATTCATTACTTCTATTATTGTTTTTGTTTTATTATTATTATTATTATTATTATTATTATTATTATTATTATTATATATATTACTGAAATTTTGTGTTGCAAGCTGCCCTGAGACCTACAGGTATAGAGCGGGATGCGAATTTAATTAATAATAAATAAAGAAATAAAGTAAGAGAGACACCCTCCAGATTGCAATACACAAAATAGTTTGTGATGCTTCCAGGGACACAGAAACTCTGCCAGGAGCGGGGCATCAGGAAAGGCCCCTTTATCTCTCTGAAAAGAGGGAGGGGAGGGGGCCGGGGGGGAGTCCCGGGTCCACCCTGTTATGTACTGATGTTCTCACCCTGGGCCAGCAGGGGGATACTGTAGATAGTTATGCAAATGATGGATCGAAAGTGACGTTCAGTGATTGGATAGTTTGTATGCAAATGAAGGATCGAAAAGTGACGTTCAGTGATTGGATAGTTTTAGAAAGTTGCAACAGTTACAATTGTTCTGGAGCTCTATATAAGCAGGCTGACTGAGCTCCTCAGTTAAGTTTTTGTTCCAGCTTACAAATAAAGAGCTGCTTTGGAAGAATCGCTGTGTCATCTGATATGTTCGCCCACAACTTAACACACCCCACACTCCCCCTCATTTTGGGTTCTTGCGGGGGGGCGTTTCCCATGACGCCCCCCTCCCCCATTCTGGACTCACCGTGCCGGGACTGGGAGAAGGGATCAAAGATCCCGTAGTTGTACCGGCAGACGGAATCCACGGCGGCCTTCCTGCTCTGCAGGAAGTCCTTGTCCTGGTTCCAACTCTTGACTTGGGACTCCGCCAGTTCTGCCACAGCCACGAACTTCCCTCGGTCGCTGTCGAAGTACATGAGCTCCTGCCGGTCGAAGAAGTGCCTTTCTAGGAAGCGGATCCACTGCGTCCTATTGGAGAAGTGGCACTCAAACTTCCCCATGTACAGGAAATGCTCTGCGGGTGGGAGGGGGGAATTAAAATTGGAGGGTGGAGACTTCCGGTTTCCAGTTGCCTTGAGGGCGCAGTTCTCACTATAGCAGAGAGTTGCCCCCCGCCGGGCAGGAGACAGATGGTCTGTCTCTCTCCCATTCTCTCTCTCTCGTGTCACATGATCCCATGGCGGGAGGGGAGGAGGGCACCAGAGACTGAGCTGGGAGACCCCCCCTCACCTCCTCCCAAAGGAAAGGGGGAAATCAGAAGGAAGGCCGTTGTGGAGGGGGAGGCACAACCTCAAAGACCCGGGACCCCATGAGCGTAGCCAGGATTAAGGGAGGGGTGGGAGAGAGAACCAAGCTATCTGCTTTTATTTATTTATTTGTTTGTTTGTTTGTTTGGGGGGGCAGCTGCTCCCTGCCCCCGATGGCTCTGCCCATGCTTCTCCCAGTTTTTTTAAAAAGTAAAGCTCCCTCCCCCCTTTTATTGCCCTCCGGCTGGAAGAGGAAATGTTGGGGGTGGGAGAGAGACCAGGAAAAGGGCGAGATGCCAAGGAGGGTGGGAGACACTTCTCTGCTCTGAAGGGGGCTTCACTCCAAAAAAACCCTCCCCTCGAGGAGACCCGCCCCCCCCTGCGGGAGAGCCGGTTTCACTTTCGCTTTCCCTCCCAGAACGCAGGAAGCAACGCCTGTCTACGCAGGAGCCCGTTTCAGCACCCAGAGGACCCCAAGGCAGGGTGGGGGGGGGGGTGGCTGAGAGAGGGGACCTGCCGCGAGGGCGGGGAGTTCAGGGTCCCCGGAGCAAGGACCCATATGCCCCAGTTTCGCTGCTGCTTCATGGGCGTAGCCAAGGGGAACAGGGAGGGGCAACTGCCCCCATCAATAAAAACCAATAAAAATACATAGCAAACTGAGGTTCTGCCCCTCCCTAACAAAAATCCTGACTACACACTTGCCTGGGTTTCTTACTATTGAGAAAGAGCAGATAGATGAAAGGTATATTTATGCCTTATGTGTAGTCCTTTATAGACTTAATAATTGGTTATGGACTAATAATGATGAGGGTCATTTTGAGAGGCAGGTGAAGAAGAGCTCAGGGCCAAATTCAGCTGCGCTCCCCCCTCCCCGCCCCCCAAAAGTCCCCTAGGGCTGCCTGCCATCAGCTGTCCTGCAGGAAGACTATTTAAGGTGTGAATATTGTGGTTTTATTAAAATTCAATTGACTGTTATTTGTAAGCTGCTGGGGTAGGATTTTAATCCTGAAAGGTGGGATATAATTAATAGCAATAAATAAATGCTTTCTCCTTCCCAGTCCAAGAAGCCTGAGCTGCTCTTTTTCAGAGGGGGAGTGTTTCCCCTTCCCTCCTGCCCCTTTGCCCCCCCCCTCGTGTCCTGGAAGAAGCAAAGAGTCCCCGTGGGAAAACAAGGATTCTTCAACATCAACTTCACTGAACTAAACCATGTTGTTCGGATGCCCGATTATCATCTTCCAAAGTAACTACTCTAGTCCTAACTTAAAAGCGGAAAGCGTAATGCTGGTGGTCAACAAAAGAGGTTAAAAGATTCTCTCAAGGCAAATCTAAAAAAACGTAGCATAAACACTGACAATTGGGAAACACACTCCTGCAAGCGCTCCAATTGGAGAACAGCCTTTACCGAAGGTGTCATGGGCTTTGAAGGCACTCGAACTCAGGACAAAGGGAGAAACGTGCTAAGAGGAAGGGACGCTTGGCAAACCCTCAAGGGATCAACTCCCGCCCTGAAACCAATGTCCCCCCTGTGGAAGGACGTGGGGATCCAGAATTGGCCTCCACAGTGGACTCCCTGCTAAGATCATGGAAGACCATCTACGAGGGATCGCCAAGGAAGCCCCACTGATGGGGGTCCTCTTCCTTCTCCCCCATTGCAGACTCTTTGCTCACCTGGAGGCGCCTCCACGCCCAGCCCCTCCGAAGCGGAGACCACCAGCGCTCCCATCCCCAGCAGGAGCCCCCCAAAGGCCAAAGGCGCAGCGCCGGAGCCCCCCATCCTTCTCTCTTCTTCGCCCCCGAAGACTCCCAAATGGGACTTTCTCCGCTCAGCCCCGGGAGAAACTCCTGCAAAGCCCCGCCCACTCCACCTCTCCGCCCCGCGAGCGTCCAATCCGCCTCCGAGCCCAGGCAGCGTCATCGGTCGCCAGGCAGGGAACTCCTGGAAAGAGCATTATCAAGGGCTCTCTCTGCTCTCGCTCGATCTGCAAGTTCCTCTTCGCCTTCTCAGCTGCTTCTGATGTCTCCATCGTTGTCGCGTCGCGTCTGAATCAAGATCTTCCCCAGAAAACCTATGGGGGGGAATATAAAGCTTAAGAGGAACCTGTCAGTTCCATCCAAAAGTTTACTCTGGCAGCAAAAAGGGAAATTTCAGACTCAGGCTTCAAAACAGCGACACGCGCTTTTCTTTTCCTGGGTTTTAAGCCGCTAAACCTTCGTTCCTTCTTGTATCCGGAAAGAGGAAGCAAGTTTCAAGGGGGGAATAAGTGTCTGCTGAGGGAGGGGGCTCCCCCTCTTGGCCCCCCAGCCTGCATCCCCAGGAGACCTGGCAGCCCCCCAATAAGGAGACCCCTCCCCCCCCAATAAAAGCCCCCTTCAGCCCCCAGCTCCCCTTTGCAAGAAACATCCCTGGTGTCTGAGGAGCCCCATGAAGAAACACACAGGGGGGAGACAGAAGGGACCCCCGCCCCTTCCCTGGAGGAGACCCCTCCCCTCTTGGGGAGATCCAGCCCCCCCCCAAATATTCGCTGCCCTTTTCCTGCTGCTGTTTTCGCTCCGTCTCTGGCCGAGGCTCCTGCCTGGGGAAGGTTTACCTGGAGACAGGCTGCCTTTTGGAGGAAACCAATAAGACAGAGGATCCAAATACAGCAGCTTAAATGAACCAATAGTAGCTGTACCCTTTGAAACCAAAAGGCAGTTACTTTACCCTAATGCAATTACAGACAATAATAATACAGATATAAAATCCTTTGACTCAATACACAACAGGGGAAGAAAGGAGACCCCTCTCTCTCAGGCAGCCCCATGTCTCTTCCCACCCCCAGAGGCTGGGTCCATCTCTGGGCTTCACAGACGACCTTGCAAGGCAAACCTGGGCGGGCGGGGGGGGGGAGAGACACCCCTGGCTTCCCTGGGTCAGCCCCTCCCCCACTCTCCTGATCCTAAGAAAGAAGTTGGGGGGGTCCCTTCCTTTTCACCCCCATCCTCTCCCCTCCCAACTTCCCTGTTTGTAGATTGAAAACCACGTCCTTCTCTCCCCGCAAACGCAGATGACCCCCCCCCCCAGATATGATGTCCCTCCCGCAGCCATCCCCACCCTCTGCTGTGGGGAGGAGAGGCAACGGGGGGGAGAGAGACGGAGCCCCAAGAGCAGGAGGCTAAAGGCAGCGCCGTCCCGTCCACTTCCCATCCCAACACAGCAAGGGGCTGCTCTCTACTAAGTAGCGCTAGGGGCAAGCGCATCCCAAAAGGAACCGGAAGTGTCGCTGCTAAATGTGCCGCCAAAAGTGTAGATTTGGAATAAGGAGGAGGGGCGTCAGTGAAGAACCCCCCCCCAAAAAAACCCCTTTCTATTGCAGACAAGGATAGCGGAATAATCTCGAGCCAGGGAGGCGGAGGACCAAGAGGTAAAGAGGGAGAGGGGGGAAATAGAGGGGGGTAAGAGAGGGAGGGAGGACAAAGAGACCCCCCCCCGAAGGAAAGCGCCCTCCCTGGGGCCCGTCGACAGGGGCCCCGATCCAGGCCCCGACCCAGGGGGGAAGGGGGGACCCAAGACCTGCAGGGATCTACACCTGGCAAGATCTCCTGGGCAGCAGCAGCACCGCCAGACTCCCCTTTCTCTTTCCTGGGGGCCGAGAGATGCTCAGCTGCCCTGGCGGGAAGGGGAAGGAGGACCCCAAGCAGGGCTGGGGGTGGGGCTGAGGCCCCCCATTCTCCCTGGGGTCGTGGGGCGCCTGGCTGGGGAAACGGAGAGAGGGAGTCCATGGAAGGGTTAAAGGAAGGGGAGGAGCCTCGACAGAGACCCCTCCCCTTCCAGCACCCCTGACCCCCCTTCTCCCCCCCCTTCCCTGATGACAATACCAGGTTATCTGCATTCACTAGGACTCATCTCCATACTTTGATTTGTCCTGAATACCACCATTTGCTAGCCAAACCCAAAAGTCCCACTGAGATGATGATTGATAATATTGTCATTTATCCATTTTAGACCCCTAAGTAGTAGCAATTGCAAGGACATTGTGCTGCTCTCCTCTGCACAGTTCCACCCCTATTTCAGACCTTGTGGCTGATTTAAATGTTTAGCTGCTGATAACATGGCAACGTTTAGCAGGTGATATTGTGAGGTTTAGCTGGTAATAAACCACAAGTGATATTGTGAGTTTTGGTAATGATAACATTACAATCTTTATCTGCGAATAGCCCTGCAATATTTAGCAGTGCTACTAACATTACAGCATTTAGCTGGTAAGTTATCGCAATGTTGAAAAACAGGTATCGCCTAGCCCTTGCATACATTGTGATTCATAATATATTGCCAGCTCAGTATTAGGAAACAGTTATCACGATGTAAACTTGAAGCTAGTCTTGGACAATATACCAATACAGTGGCACCCCGCAAGACGAACGCCTCGCGAGACGAAAAACTCGCAAAACGAAAGGTTTTTTCGTTTTCGAGTTGCCTCGCAAGACGAATCTCCCTATGGGCTTGCTTCGCAAAACGAAGCTTGCCCCGGGGACAGCGGGTCTTCTCTTTTGAAGCAAGGGGCTGCGGGGAGATCGCTTCTCCCGGTGCTCCGAAGCCAGGCGGGGGGGCGGGAACACCTGCCCCAGCCACCCCGCTTCAGAACGCTGCTCCGAAGCGGGGTGGGGGGCGGGAACACCTGCCCCAGCCGCCGGGCTTCGTAGCGCTGCTGCGAAGCCGGGCGGGGGGCGGGAACACCTGCCCCAGCCACCCCGCTTCGGAACGCTGCTCCGAAGCGGGGTGGGGGGGCGGGAACACCTGCCCCAGCCGCCGGGCTTCGTAGCGCTGCTGCAAAGCCGGGCGGGGGGGCAGGAACACCTGCCCCAGCCACCCCGCTTCGGAACGCTGCTCCAAAGCGGGGGGGCGGGAACACCTGCCCCAGCCGCCGGGCTTCGTAGCGCTGCTGCGAAGCTGGGCGGGGGGCGGGAACACCTGCCCCAGCCGCCCCGCTTCGGAACGCTGCTCCGAAGCGGGGTGGGGGGCGGGAACACCTGCCCCAGCCGCCAGGCTTCGTAGCGCTGCTCCGAAGCGGGGCGGGAACACCTGCCCCAGCCGCCGGGCTCCGGAGCGCTGCTGCGAAGCCGGGCGGGGGGGCGGGAACACCTTCTGAAGGCGGGCGGGGGGCGAAAGTCTTTGTCCCCCCTGCCTGCCTTCCCAGGGGCTTTTAAATCGCCCCGGACAGCGGAGAAGTCCTCCGCTGTCCCGGGGTTTTTTAAAATGCTGGGGGTGGGAAGAAAAGCCCTTGTCCCCCCCCCCAGCCTTCAGAAGAGGTCCGGGGACAGACTGTCCCCGGACCTGGTCTGAAGGCGGTTTCCCTAGGAACGCATTAATTGATTTTCAATGCATTCCTATGGGAAACCGTGCATCGCAAGACGAAAAAACCGCAAGACGAAGAGACTTGCGGAACGAATTAATTTCGTCTTGCGAGGCACCACTGTATATCGCCCAGCTCTAATCATGACCTATATTTCTGACCCAGTGTATCATTGCTGATTTTACCAGTTTGCTCTTTATTTCCCATTCTGATAGCATCTTGTACATTTTGGAAATCGCTTTCTCTCTACTCACAATAACAGCTCTTTCAAACTTTGAGTAAAATAAACCTCTCCTTTTATCTTGTCTAAACAAGATGATTTGATGGTATTGAAACCAATCTGCCACCACACGTCCCATCTCATCCTGTTTATTCAATTTTATTTCTTCTTCCAAAAATTCCAGAATATCTCTGTAAATTGCCCATTTTCCTTCCGTATTCCATTTTTTTTAAAAAAGGTATTGTTTCTGTGAGTTCCTTTTCTGCTTATACTTTTACTACTTCTACTTTTTTGTCTGTTGTTTGTATTTTCTTTTATTTATTTATACTTTCCACAATCTTTATATTGTACAGATTGTATAGGATGTATGTTAGTACTGTATGTTCTGTGTGCATTTTAAGATTTGTTTTGCTTAATAACATTCAATTTAAAAAGAAAAAGAAACATATAGAGGTTGATTGAGGAAAAATATGGCCCAGAGCTGGAGGATTAGTGTTCATGGACATTTCTGCACTGCTGGGGGTTAGATTAAATGGCCCCCAGGGTCTCTTCCAACTCTCCAGTTCTATGATTCTATGACATGTGGGGGGGGGACATGGAAGGATGTACGAGATGTAAAAATAGGAGAAGGTGCTAATTGAACTTTATGTGCTTCATATTCTTTTGTTTTCTTCTTTGAAACACGAACAGGAGTTTATGTTCCATGCACTCCAAAGAAAGCAGTAGAGAAGACAGTCAGAATTCTGGGGGACATCTGAAATTTCCTTAGGCTTAACAAAGAAACAATTTAAATGCATTGAAAGTGGCATGTGATTCAATCAATGAACACACAAACTTCACATCAATGAACTCAAAGAGTGGAGAAACCATTTCAGGCTATGGAGCGTGGAAAAAGCTTCAGTGATAGTGGAACGCCTGGAAAACATCAACAGACTAACACAGGGAAGAAACCATTTAAATGTGTGGAGTGTGGGAAAAGCTTCACTGGTAGCGGAACACTTAGAAGACATCAACGAACTCACACAGGAGAGAAACCATTTAAATGTATGGAATGTGGTAAGAACTTCACACAGAGGTCACACCTTCATGCGCATCAACAAACTCACACAGGGGAGAAAGCATTTGAGTGTATGGAGTGCGAAAAGAGCTTCAGACAGAGGCCACACCTTCACGCGCATCAGCGAACTCACACAGGGGAGAAAGCCTTTCAATGCATGGAGTGTGGAAGGAGCTTCAGGGACAGTGGAACTCTTAGAATTCATCAACGGATTCACACAGGAGAGAAACCATATAAATGTATGGAGTGTGGAATGAGCTTTACTGATTATAGAACACTTAAAAAACACCATCGGATTCACACAGGGGAGAAACCATTTGAATGTATGGAGTGTGGAAAGAGCTTCAGAGAGAGGTCGCACCTTCACGCACACCAACGAATTCACACAGGGGAGAAACCATATAAATGTATGGAGTGTGGAAAGAGCTTCAGTGATGGTGGAACTCTTAGAGTTCATCAACGGATTCACACAGGGGAGAAACCATATAAATGTACGGAGTGTGGAAAGAGCTTCACTGATAATAGAACACTTAGAAAACATCAACGGATTCACACAGGGGAGAAACCATTTGAATGTATGGAGTGTGGAAAGAGCTTCAGTCAGAGTTCAAGCTATAGAAAGCATCAAAGGACCCACACAGGGGAGAAACCATTTAAATGCATGCAGTGTGGAATGAACTTCACTAATAGTTCACACCTTCGGTCACATGAACGAACTCACACAGGGGAGAAGCCATTTAAGTGCATGGAGTGCGGAAAGAACTTCAGGGACATTTCACAGCTTCGTTCACATGAACGAACTCATGTAGATGAGAAACCATTTAAATGCATGGATTGTGCAAAGAACTTCAGGGACATTTCACACCTTCGTGTACATCATCGAACTCACACGGGGGAGAAACCATTTGAATGCATGGAGTGCGGAAAGAGGTTTAATCGGAGTGAAACACTTAGAATCCATCATCGAACTCACACAGGGGAAAAACCATTTAAATGCATGGAGTGTGGAAAGAGCTTCAGTGACAGTGGAACACTTAGAATTCATCAACGAATTCACACAGGGGAGAAACCATATAAATGTACAGAGTGTGGAAAGAGCTTCACTTATAATAGAGCACTTAAAACACACCAACGGATTCACATGGAAGAAACCATGTAAATGTATGGAGTGCGGAAAGATCTTCAGTGACAATGGTAAATTTAGAATTCATCAATGGATTCACACAAGGGAGAAACCATATACAGTGGTGCCTCGCAAGACGAAATTAATTCGTTCCGCAAGTCTCTTCGTCTTGCGAGTTTTTCATCTTGCGATGCACGGTTTCCCATAGGAATGCATTGAAAATCAATTAATGCGTTCCTAGGGAAACCGCCTTCAGACCAGGTCCGGGGACAGTCTGTCCCCCGACCTCTTCTGAAGGCTGGGGGGGGGAAACAAGGGCTTTTCTTCCCACTGTCAGCCTTCAGAAGGCTGTTCTGAAAGCTGGCGGTGGGAAGAAAAGCCCTTCTTCCCACCTCCCGCCCCGCAAGCTCCGGGGACAGGAGGGCTTTGCTGCTGACCGCCAGCATTTTAAAAGCCCCTGCTGTCCCGGGGCGATTTTAAAATGCTGGCGGGCGGGAGCGAAGTCTCCGCTGCCCCGGGGAGATTTTAAAATGCTGGGGGTCGGCAGCGAACGCTTCGCTCCCGCCCGCCAGCATTTTAAGATCGCCAGGGGCAACGGAGAAGTCTCCGCTGTCCCGGGAAGGCAGGCGGGGGGAGCAAAGACTTTTGCCCCCGCCTGCCTTTAGAAGAGGTCCAGGACCTCGTTCCGATGCCCGGCGGCGGGGTGAGAGGTTCCCGCCCCACCGCCCAGCATCGGGGCATCGTTCCGATGCTGGGCGGCGGGGGGAGAGGTTCCCGCCCCACCGCCCGGCATCGGGGCATCGTTGCGATGCCCGGCGGGGTGAGAGGTTCCCGCCCCACCGCCCGGCATCGGGGCATCGTTCCGATGCCCGGCGGCGGGGTGCGAGGTTCCCGCCCCACCGCCCGGCATCGGGGCATCGTTCCGATGCCGGGCGGCGGGGTGCGAGGTTCCCGCCCCACCGCCCGGCATCGGGGCATCGTTCCGATGCCGGGCGGCGGGGTGCGAGGTTCCCGCCCCACCGCCCGGCATCGGGGCATCGTTCCGATGCCCGGCGGCGGGGTGAGAGGTTCCCGCCCCACCGCCCCGCTTCGGGGCATCGTTCCGATGCCCGGCGGCGGGGTGAGAGGTTCCCGCCCCCCCCGCCCCGCTTCGGAGCAGCGTTCCGAAGCGGGGCGGCGGGGTGAGAGGTTCCTGCCCCCGCCCGCTTCGGAGCAGCGTTCCGAAGCGGGGCGGCTGGGGCAGGTGTTCCCGCCCGCCCCGCTTCGGAGCAGCGTTCCGAAGCGGGGCGGCTGGGGCAGGTGTTCCCGCCCCCCCCGCCCCGCTTTGGAGCAGCGTTCCGAAGCCGGGCGGTGGGGGCAGGTGTTCCCTCCCACCCGCCCGGCTTCGGAGCACCGGGAGAAGCGATCTCCCCGCAGCCCCTTGCTTCAAAAGAGGTCCGGGGGCAGCGGGGAAGAAGCGCTGCGCTTCCCGCTGCCCCCGGACCTCTTTTGAAGCAAGGGGCTGCGGGGAGATCGCTTCTCCCCACAAACCCTTGCTTCAAAAGAGGTCCGGGGGCAGCGGGAAGCGCTTCCCGCTGTCCCAGACCTGGGGCTGCGGGGAGAAGATCGCTTCTCCCCGCCGCCCCTTGCTTCAAAAGAGAAGACCCGCTGTCCCCGGGGCAAGCTTCGTTTTGCGAAGCAAGCCCATAGGGAAATTCGTCTTGCGAGGCAACTCGAAAACGAAAAAAACCTTTCGTTTTGCGAGTTTTTCGTCTCGCGAGGCGTTCGTCTTGCGGGGTACCACTGTACAGTCGTATCTTGGATCCTGAACGCCTTGCAAATTGAACGTTGTGGCTCTCAAACGCCACAAACCTGGAAGTAATTGCTCCGATTTGTGCGTGTTCTTTGGAACTGAACATCCGACGTGGCTTCTGTAGCTTCCAATAGGTTGCAGGAGCTTCCTGCAGCTAATCAGATGTTGTGCTTTGTATCCGAACATTTTGGAAGTCAAACAGACTTCCAGAACGCATTATGTTTGACAGAATAATATGAAATTACTTTCTAAAATGTATAAATTATTTCTAGAAGGATTTACAAAGATGAACACGTTAAATTTGTCATATGTGGTGGACATGCATGATAGTAAAAGCATTTTGGAAAATGATATATAGTGAATTGGGAAAAAAATGTTTAAAATAACATTAAAAAACCGAAGCTTCTCTTTTAGGACTCATAGGTGGAGAAATTTCAAGGGAGCAGGAAAGGTTATTTATGTACTCAACAACAGCTGTGCATATGGTATTAGCCCCGATATGCAAAAAAGACAAAGTCCCTACCAGAGAAGAATGGCAGATTAAGTTGATGGACTGTGCTAAATTGGCATGTGAATTTAAATAATAATTTGGAAAATTTAATAAATAGATTTCCAGAAAAAGAGAGGAAAACATAGAATTCATTAACAGATTCACACAGGGGAGAAACCATATAAATGCATGGAGTGTAAAAGGAGCTTCACTGAGACTTGAAACCATAGAAAACATCAAGGAACTCACGTAGGAAAAAACCATTTAAATCTATAAAGAAAAAGCCTCAGCCAGAGTACAGAGCTTGATATGCATCAATGGACCCACAGAGGAAAGCATTTAAATGCATGGTGTGTGGAAAGAACTTCAGTAGAAGTGGAAACCTCAGACAACATCAGTGGACTTTCAAAGGGGAGAGACCATTTCAATGTATGCAGTGAGGAAAGAAGTTCACTGATAGTGGAAAACTTAAGAAGACCTCAAGAAGCTCAGACAAGGGTGAAATCATGTAAATGTCAGGAATATAATTAGAGTTTCGTTCAAAGTTTCAGTCTTTAATGTATAGACATGTAGTTAGGGTCTCACAGTAGTAAATGTAAGATTTAATGTACTGTAATGTTACATAGGGAGGGGGAGTGTGTGAATCTTCTTACATCCCCAAGGTAATATTGCAAACCGCATATATTCTTTACATTTTATAAATTAATTTTTGTCGCAACACCTCCTCATACGCTGCTACGTGAAGTGTCCAGATAAAACGTTATCGCTGCACAACTTGCATGAGGAGGAGAGGTGGCACATTGAAGAGGAGGCAGTGCCTGAGCATCTCGAAGGAATGTGCCAGGGTAGAGGATGTTGACACAGGTTTGTGTAAAATGTTTCACTGTGAGTTCGAATATCTATCTATTCCCTGAATAACGGGAGAAACCATACAGATGAATGGAATAACATGGAATGTGAATGGACTAAATACGAAATCCAAAGGTAATAAGAACACATGTATTAAGAAAGCAGAAATTAGATTAAATAAGCTGGATCCATCTCGGCTTCACATAAGGTCTTGCAGTGCACACCTGGGTGGGGGTGGGAAACCCCACTTTGCGGCTGGCTTACCTGGATCAGCCCCTCCCCTGCCACCCTGGCAGCTGCCCCTCCCTGACCCCCATGGCTATGTCCATGTGCTAAGATACAATTTTTCTCGGGCCAAGGAATCCCGTGGCAGAAGTTTTCTCGGGCCAAGGTGTCCCGTGGCAGAAGTTTTCTCAGGCCAAGGTGTCCCGTGGCAGAAGTTTTCTCGGGCCAAGGTGTCCTGTGGCAGAAGTTTTCTCGGGCCAAGGTGTCCCGTGGCAGAAGTTTTCTCGGGCCAAGGTGTCCCGTGGCTGAAGTTTGAACTCATAAGATTTTCTGGAAACGAAATTGTAGTCTAAAGATAGGTATATTCCAAATACTGAAAGGATCTTTTCCCTTTCCCCCTTTTCTTCCCATCCCCTCTCTTCCCCTCGTGTGTGTCTCTACCCCCCTCTATCTTTAACATAGGAAGAATGGGAACCCAGGCTTCCAAACATTCTGACTGGACTCCTCCAGGCGATAAGGCTTTCGCGAAGCCTTCCCGCCAGAGGGAGGACTCTGATACCCCTCTCCAATTTGTTCTCTTAAACTGGAAGGAGTTGAGAGGGAGGAAAGGACTCTCAAAATCCAAATTGAGAGACCTTTGTAACATCGCGTGGGTCGCTTTTACCCACCACCTAGAGCTGGCCTCGCAGTGGCCACCTCATGGCTCGTTTAACCTTGTAAGGATGCAAGCACTTAAATCATATCTGGCCGACGAGAAACCCCGGCAGTTGTACTATCTGAATGCCTTCGTTGAAGCCCACGAATTATTTCAACGGCAGCAAACCCAAATCGTCCGACAAATGGCTGTTCTAAAGACGACCAGACCTCCCCCATATGATGAAATTAGAGCTCAGGAGGAACAATTAGATAGAACTCTCATTCCCTTCTATTACCCCAAACCATGGGCTCCACGACTACCGGAACCTCGGCCGGAAAACAGAGCAGAAACCGGTGCGGGGGGTGCGGGACCCGGGAGAGAATCAACGAATCAGGTCACTGCCGTTCCCCCTCAAAGTATAACAACGACACCACCATCCGACCCCTCCCCAAGCACTTCCAACCCGGGAGGAGGTCAAGCGGACTTGGGTTTAGGACCCCTACTCGCCGGCCAGTTGCTAAACGGAGAATGGGAGGGACCCGTCTCCAGTAGAACATGGAATAGGGACAACTTACCGAACGGTGAAGTAGAAGGTGCTTTTCCCTTAAGGGCATTACCTATTCCCCCAGCCAGAGCAGGAGACCCGCCCCGTATGGTCTTTACTCACCAACCCTTTCTCACTTCGGATTTAATGAATTGGTCCGACAAAATGCCCTCCCTACGGGACGACCCGGACAAATGCCACCGCCAGGTAGCCACCATCTTCTCCACACACAACCCCACTTGGGCCGACGTACATATGTTGCTCGGGGCTCTTTTAAACGAGGCAGAGAAAAGGGAAATATTGGCAAAGGTGGGAGAAGCCCTAGCTCGGGAAGATTATCAACCGAACCGACCCGCCTCGATGGCCCCCCTAACCGCGCAGACTTTGCTAAACAACCCTGACTGGGACTATAACACGGACAACGGGATGTGGGGTCTAAAAATTTTCAAAAAGGCAATCTTGGATGGCATTAAGGCTGCAGGACAGCGGACCGTGAACTGGACCAAAGTCCAAGCCGTCCTCCAGGGACCCGATGAGCATCCGTCTGACTATTATTCAAGACTAGTCTCCGCCATTAAAACCTGGGGTGGGATAGATCCAGAAAGCCCGCAACACGAGGTAATAGTCAAAGGATTTTTTAAGGACCAAGCCACTGCCAACATTCGAAAGGCTTTAAATTCTCACTTGGGATATGATGGGAAAACCATAAGCGAAATTCTTTCCATCGCTAAGTCCGTTTTCAACTCAAGAGACGAACGGAAAAGGAAAGACCAAAAACCCGACTCCCCGCGGGTGTTAGCTTATGCAGCTGGGGTACCAACCTCCAAAGAAAGGTTTAAACCACGGGGATCTGAACTATTAGATGACCGTGTCTGTTTTAACTGTGAAGAAATAGGACACATCCGGAGAAATTGCCCCCTCCGGATGGGAGCCAAAAGAACTGAGTATAAAGACTCCCGACCCTACAACCCGGACTATAGAGAAACCACCCACCACAGATACAGAGAGCCTGCCCCTACATACGGACCCAACCAATTCCCAAACCAAATACAACCCCGCACTGAACCATCACTACCACAGCCTCAACCACGGAGTCAACCCCATGGCGCTATCAATCCCTATAAACAGGGAAACCGCCCTGCAGACCCAACTCATGAAATGGTAATGGAAGAATATCAGCCACATTGACAATTAGAAGCAGATCCCGCCTCCTTTTCTTTCCTCTGCCCGGTTTTACAACTGTCCTCTTCCGATCCCATCTGCACCATGCAAATTGATGGGCAATCCTATAATTGCCTTTTGGATACCGGAGCCACCTACTCCACCCTCACGAACAGCCATTTAACCCCCGGGGAAGAGACCAGAACTATAATGGGACTGGACGGAATTCCTCGGAATTGTCCTCTTTCTAAACCTGCAAATGTTTCCGTTGGACCTCTATCCGTAAAACACACTTTCTTGCTAACCTCTAGCCCCGTCAACCTCTTGGGGAGGGATCTGCTCTGCAAATTAAACGCCACTATACAATGTGGTCAGGAAGGTATTTATTTACACATGCCGAATGAGTCTATCTTTAATTTCCAAGGAGTTCTACAGGAAGCCCAAAATACCAACATTGATCTTCCACCCGAACTCCTAAATAATGTCTCCCCTTCCTTATGGGGAACCGAATCAACCTCGGTGGGACTCTTAAAATCTGCAACCCCGGTGAAAGTAAACTACAGGCACGATTTACCCTTCCCTTGCACTAAACAATACCCGCTTCCCCCAGAGGCGATAGAAGGACTCATCCCGATGATCGACGAGTTCTTGAGGATGGGAGTCCTAGTCCCATGTGCCTCCCCCTGCAATACCCCTCTACTTCCCGTCAAGAAACCTAATACCAATCCAGTTAAATGGCGCTTGGTGCAGGATCTTCGACTCATTAACTCTTTTGTTATTCCGAGGCATGCCGTTGTTGCCAACCCCCACCATCTCCTAAGCCATTCCGGAGGGAACTGTGGTGTACTCTGTCATAGATCTATGCTCTGCCTTCTTCAGCATCCCTGTACATCCCGAAAGCCAATTCCTCTTTGCCTTCACCTGGCAGACAGGGCAACTAACGTGGACCCGGTTACCCCAAGGATATGTAGAATCCCCAGCAATTTTTTCGTCCATACTACATCAAGATTTAGCAGATGTGACCCTGCCAGGAGGCTCTGCCCTGAGGCTCTATGTAGACGACATCCTACTCTGTGGGCGTGACCTAGAATCCTGCAAAAATGACACCATAGCTCTTCTAAACATACTAGCACACAAGGGACATAAAGTATCCCCAAAAAAGATACAGTATTGCAAAAAGGAGGTCAAGTACCTTGGTCACATCCTGGGAGAGGGCACCCGCACCCTAACTACGGATCAGATTGAGGCAATAACAAAACTACCCTTACCTAAGACTAAAAGGCAGCTCCGAGGATTCATAGGGATGAGCGGATTCTGCCGAGCGTGGATCCCCCGCTATGGAGAATTCACCCGCCCCCTTACAGCAATGACACATGATAACTCCCCGGACCAACTACAATGGTCCGCTGAGGCACTCAAAGCCTTTGAATCTATTAAAAGAGAACTAAGATCCTCACCCGCCCTCGGACTCCCGGACTATAGACTACCCTTCTCTTTGTACGTACATGAGAACAAGGGAGTAGCTTCTGGTGTCCTTACCCAACCGTTCCAGGGGAGGAACAGGCCTGTGGCTTATTACAGCCTTCAACTTGACACTACGGTACTGGGAAACGTGGGATGCCTGAGAGCTGTAGCCGCGGCAGCCCTGCTTCTAGAAAAAGCGCAAGAAACAGTCCTGGGACACGACTTAACTGTGAACGTTCCCCACGCTGTGGCTACCTTACTTAGCCTACAAGGGTGCCAACGCTTCACGATACAACGCCTAAACAAATACGAAGCCATTCTCCTCAGTCCGTCAAACGTCACCATCAAGAGAGTAAACTCCCTGAATCCCGCGACCCTTCTTCCCCTCCCCGACGATGGCACCCCGCATCATGACTGCTCCCAAATAGTTCGCCACCTCGAAAAACCCAGGGAAGACCTCGATTATCTCCCCTTAACGAACCCTGATCTCATCCTATACACTGATGGGAGCTCCAAAGTTGTGGGAGGGCAACGGAAAAGTGGGATACGCCATAGTTACTGATAATGAAATTCTAGAGGCACGACCTGTCAATGCAAAATACAGCGCTCAAGCCGCTGAACTTATCGCCCTGATTAGAGCCTGCGAATTAGGGGCGGATCAGAGAGTCACTATCTACACAGACTCGAAGTATTGCTTTGGGTTAGTGCATGCCACTGGACAAATCTGGTTACAGAGGGGCTTCTTGACTGCGGCCGGTACCCAAATTGCACACGCTTCCCTGGTACAATGTCTCATGGACTCTATACACCTTCCTGAAGCTATCGCAGTAGTCCATTGTA